AGGACCAAGCAGAGCCTAGAGATTGCAGAAGAGTCCAGAGAGACAAGGGGCGGGGCCTGGAGAGCGAAGTGGGGCTTGGAGGACAGAAATTGCCAGAATACAACAAAGAGAGTTGGCCTGAGTTGTGGTTGCTGTGAGCCAAGCAGTGTTGAAGTCTTTTTGGGGGAGATCTGGAACCCAGACTATAAATGGCCCAGGTAGGGCTGAAGGAAAGGCTCCAAGAACTTCCCTGGCTCTCCCAACCCAGCTTTTCTGTCCCCAAGGCCCTTACCCCCAGCTGCCGCTTCACCAGCTAGCGTCATTTCTCTCCCACACCGGAAGCCACAGAAAGGAATATAGGGGCCATCTATATATAGATCAAGCCATAGCCCTCTCCACAGGTGGGGAAGCCCAGACCAGGTCAAGAGGGTTTGGGGAAGAGTGGAGAGGCACTGAGTATAGGTGAAATTTGACAATTTATTTTCCTATCTTCACTTCGACCTCACAGACCAGGCCCTGGTGCCTACTGGTACAAAGAGGCCTGAGACAGGCAAGACAGCTGTTCCTGAGTAACAAACAAAAGCTTTTCTTTGTCTGCAGATGGTAGGGGTGTTGGCAGAAGAGGAGGTTACAGAAGAGGACACATACATCTCTGCATTCAAAGGGGCAGGGCTGGAAGGGGGTCGATTCACTTTCGATCCCAGGGACTTGAACCTCTACAGGACTCCCACCCCCCAGGGACTAGCCAATGCTCACCCTTGAGTGGCACAGGAATCCCAGGTAGACAATGGCAGCAGCTGGCAGCAACACCAGCAGGAAGACTGTCCCGGGTAGCAGCAGATGGCACAGGAACCCAACCAGAGCCCGGCCAGGCAGCAGCAGGGTCCTGAGGCCTTCAGTGGTCAGGATGGGCCACCCCGGGCATACCAGGACTGGGATACGGTAGTCAGTAGGCCTTCTTCGAGGCAGCATGGGCGCTGTGTCTGAAGTACCTCCTTCATCCTCTTCTGTCTCCCTCTCCTGCTGCTCACTCATGTCCTGGCTGTGGACCTTGAAGGATGCTTTCCCTAAGATCACAGCAGTAAGCGGTAGGACTAGCTCCCACCGCCAAGCCCAGACTAGTGATCCTTTCCCCTCCCCCCGGTTCAGTTCACATCTAGATCCTAGACACCAGATAGTGGACTGCTGTCCTGTTTAGTCTAGCACCGGATATCTGTCTCCAGGGCTACACCCCTGTCACAGTTTCCCCCACTACCTTGTTGGGCCTCTTTGCCAGGCAAATGAAGGCAGCTCCTGAGTGCTCTGGTTAGGTCTTACACAGCTATCCCTATCTGAGCACTATGGCCCTCCTTCCTCACAGCCCGCCCTTCTCCAGCTTCCAGTTCTCCCAAACAATGGCTCCATTTCACAGATCCTGGCTATGACAAATGTCCTTTAATAGCTGCCATCTAGGGACAAACCGTTAACTCATTTCCTAGCCCCAGTCCCCGCAATCCCCTCTAGGGACAAACCGCTAACTCATTTCCTAGCCCCAGACCCCGCAATTCCCCTTTTCTAACAAGTAGACCCCTCTTTGTTGTCAGTATAAGATGAAAACACCATAGGACTGGAGAGAGGACTTGGTACTTAAGAACACTGGCTGCTCTTCCAGAAGACCTGGGTTCAATTCTCGGCACCCACATGGCAGCTCACAGCTGTCTGTAGCTCCAGTTCCAGGGCATCCAGCCTCACACAGACATACATACAGGCAAAACAACAATGCACATAAAATAAAAACAAAAAAATCATTAAAAAAAGGTGAAGCCACCAAGTGACTCCATGCTGTGGAGTTGTTCAGAGGTTAGTGTTTACTGTAGTACCTGGCAGATAGCTGTTACCTGATGAGCAGCCACTCAGTTACTCTGCACTGAATCCAGTCCATCGTGGGAGCATGCAACAGGCTTTTCAGATGGTGAGAACATGTAATCCACCGAAAGCTCCAGCCACTAACCCCCAATATTGCTAAGATGCCTTCACACTGGAAGTACACAGCGGACAGCATTTAAGCCCTATTTACATAAGCTATTGACCCTTAAGGGGAGCTAATGTTTCCCCTTCTGTGCCATTTCTTCCAGTGGGCTTTGTCACTTCCAACTTTCCTTGGAATATCTTCTGATCCTGGACAGCTTTCCAGGTGGCGTTTGATATGCTCCACGAAAGGCAGCTTGCTTTCACTGGCATGCCTGGCACAGCCAGCTGTGACCGTGGCTGTTTGTGTATTTGGGTAGTGAATCCGGAGTAAAGAGTATTGTAAGGTGCTCATAGCTCAGAGGCTTAAGACGCATATTGTCCTTGTAGAACGACCTACGTTCGGTGCCAGCACCTGCTTCAGGCAGCCCACAACTATTCGTAACTCCAGCTCCGTGAGGCTTTGATGCCTCTGATTTCCTGCCCACATATTCATATATCTATATGCACACTTGCACACACATACACACCACAAGCATACAACTAAAATAAGAAAAATAAAAGTATTTTTAAACAGTGTTGCAGGGGCTGGAGAGTTGGCTCATTGGTTAAGAGCACTTGCTGCTCTTGTAGAGGCCAGGTTCCATTCTCAGCGTCCACATGTTGTCTCATAAGCTTCTGTAATTACAGTTCCAGAGGGTCTGGTGCCCTCTTCTGACTTATGTAGGCACCAGGCATGCTTGTACTACACATATATACATTCCGGCAAAATGTTCATACTCATAAAGTAAAATAAACACATCCAAAAAATCTTAAGTGTTGTAAATTATCTCCTTACTGTGCCCACACTCTTGTAATTAAAAATAAATATATTTGGGGCTGGAGAGATGGCTCAGTGGTTAAGAGCACTGCCTGCTCTTCCAAAGGTCCTAAGTTCAATTCCCAGCAACCACATGGTGGCTCACAACCATCTGTAATGAGGTCTAGTGCCCTCTTCTGGCCTGCAGACATACACACAGACAGAATATTGTATACATAATAAATAAATAAATATTAAAAAATAAATACATAAAATATATTTGTTCAAAAAAATTTTTTAAAAAAATATATTTGCGCCGGGCGGTGGTGGCGCACGCCTTTAATCCCAGCACTTGGGAGGCAGAGGCAGGCGGATCTTTGTGAGTTCGAGACCAGCCTGGTCTACAAGAGCTAGTTCCAGGACAGGCTCCAAAACCACAGAGAAACCCTGTCTCGAAAAACTTATAAAAAAAAATATATATATTTGTTCACTGGGTGGTGGTGGCACACGCCTTTAATCTCAGCACTCAGGAGGCAGAGGCAGGTGGATCTCTGTGAGTTCGAGACCAGCCTGGTCTACAAGAGCTAGCTCCAGGACTGGCTCCAAAGCTATAGAGAAACCCTGTCTCAAATATATTTGTTTATTTATTTTAGTCTTCACCTCACTGCATAGCCCTTGCTGGCTAGCCTAGAACTCAATATGTGGACCAGGATGGTCTTGAACTCATACAGATACACCTGCCTCTGCCTCCTGAGTGCTGAGATTAAAAATAGTTAGACATAATGGCCTACATCTTTAAATCCAGCATTCAAGAAGCAGAGGCAGGTGGATCCCTAAGTCTGAGGCCAACTTGGTCTACAAAGCAAGTTCTAGAAAAAAAGAAAAAAAAAAGAAAAGCAAGTTCTAGGACAGCAAGGGATATACAGAGAAACCCTGTATTGAAAACAACAACCAAAAAGTATGCATCATCATGTCTGACTGATATTTTATTTTAAATGTCTTAATGACTTATTTATTTGATATGTGTGAGTATTTTGGTTCCATGGATGAATATGCACCATGTGCATGCCTGGTGCTCACAGAAGAGGTGTCAGATCCCCTGGAGCTGGAGTTACGAATGGGTTGTGAGCCACCATGTAGCTGCTGGGAATCTCACCCTGGTCCTCTATAAAAGCAGCAAGTTCTTAAGTGTGAGCCACCTCTCTAGCTCCTGCTATTTTTTTTTATTATGTGCATGTGTTTATATGTGGGCATGTTCACATGAGTGCAGGTGTCTTCAGAGGCACTTGGGAGACAGAGGCAGGTGGATCTTTATGATGTACATAATGAGTTCTAGACTAGCTAAGGCTATGTAGTAAGATACATACTGGGACCCTGCCCTCTCTGTCCCTGGCCCAAAGTCAAGTATCCATATGGAAGCCTTGTTCCTTCAGGGTCTCCTTTCTACCTCTAGACATGAGTTCTTAGCATCCCCTGTCCCAGAAATATCCTTGCTAGCTGACATTTCTTCCGTCTCATAGCCTGCACTAGCCTGTCTTAACCGGTTCTCCAAGAGCTTCCAACCCCACCGTTCAGATGTCAGTGGTGAACCTTTCTCTCTTTCCGAGCATCTTATTGGGAAGAATGATAGAACCTTACAGGGTCCACTCCCCAACCCTGTCTGAAGCTAGGAGGAGAGGTGGTTCCAGCCCCAGGATGGGGTGGGGGCAGGTAGATCGCAGGGTGCCGGGGGTGGGGGGGCAAGTCAGAACATATCAAAGTTTGTGTTACTTGGAGGAAGGTAGGAAGGAGGTGCTGCCATCCAAGGCATGTTCCTGCTTGTCCTTCCCAACCTGTCCTGGCTTTTGTTCCTGGGAGTGTGGCCAAGAGCTTTAGTAGCCTGCTAGGGGACAAGAGTGCTCAGGCAGAGTCTGCTTGCTCCCTGGCAGGCAGAGACTCCCTTCAAATTACTAAATAAACAGTGTCAGGTGACCTCAGCATGGCCCATAAGGAAGCAACAGATCTTTGCCCACTCCTAACTTCAATCTAGCCTCCCAGGAGTAGCACCCACCTCTCAACCTGCAAGAAAAAAACTTCTGAGGAGGGTCACCAGATTGAAGCTAGCCTAGAAATAATAGGGAGAACCCTCGGGCTCCTGCCCCAGTTCCCTCTGGAGGTAATTGGGAGCCAAGACCCTTCAGAAGGCTAAGAGGTATCTGAGTCCCCCTAGTCGGGTGGTGACGTGGGACAGGTAGGGTGAACCAGCAGGAGGCCTCAGGGTGGATGCTCTTCCCAGATGGATTCCAGCAGGCTGGAGCAGGAACTGCAGTGGATGGAGCTGATTTGGGAGGCGGCCCCGGCAGACAAGACAGAGAAACCTCTTACCTCCCAAGCCTGGAGTACTCTGTTCCAGGGAGTGTGGCAGGGTGCTCCCAGCCTGGTGATACAGCTGCTGAGGCAAGGTGCCAGTGTGGAGGAGAGGTAAGCCGCATGAGTAGCTCCAGACTTTCTCCGACTGGGGCTGACTTGGTAGGAAGCACCCTCACGTATTTCGCACCCCACAGGGATCACGCAGGTCGGACTCCGCTCCATCTGGCTGTGATGCGAGGCCACGTGCCCCTTGTACGCCTACTGTTGCAGCGTGGGTCCCTGGCAGGCGCAGTTGATCACACAGGGCGCACACCGTTGCACGAGGCTGCTTGGCACGGACACTCAAAGATGGCGGAACTATTGCTGCAGCGTGGGGCCTCAGCGGTGGCATGCTCTCAAACGGGTCTCACGCCCCTCCACTGGGCAGCTGCGCTGGGACACACGCTACTGGTTACAAGCCTTCTGGCCGCACCAGGTTCAGACCCTGCCATGAAGGACTTAAGAGGTTGGACCGCCACCCACTGGGCTGCGGCATGCGGGCGACTGCCTATACTAGAGCTGTTGACTGTTGGAGGCAGCCTAGACCTGGACAGCGCCCTGCTGGTGTCAGCGGTAGCTGGAAGTGCATCAACCTTGCGGCTTCTCCTGGCACTGGGGGCAAAGGTGGATGCCCTGGACAGCACGGGAGTCACCGCGCTTGGCCTGGCAGCTGGCCTAGGCCACCACCAAGTAGGTCCAGCCTTCACCTGCAGTGACTGTGCAGGAATCTCAAGAGCTTGGTTCTCTACACTTACTTCCATAAGCTCTGAGGGAGGAGAGGAACAACGCAGAAAGATGCTGAAGCACTGGTGGGCAGGGTGGAGGGGTTGGGAGGTGAGCAGGCTCTCAGTTGGACCCTCCCACACCTGCCAACCCCACTTTGTTCTGGTGGCCCATAGCAATGAATTGGGTGAATACTTAAGTTTTCCTGAAACAGCAATTTGCTATGTCGCCTTAGCTGGCCTGAAGCTCTCTATGTAGACCGACTTGATCTTGCACTCACATAGATCCTCCAGCCTCTGACTCCTGGGTGCTGGGATTAGTGTGGGCCACAATGCCTGGCAACAATCATTTATTTAAGTATTTGGCTGAAGCTCAAGAGCAGTGGGGCACAGGGAGCACCAGGGGTTGTTACACAGCCTTTGCACAGCGTTGAATTTGATCCAAGAATCTGAGGCTGCCTCAGATTTCATCTATTTATTCCTAAAAGAAAAAAGAGGCTGTAGGGATTTGGGCCAGGCAAACACCAGGCCCTCTAAACCAGGGTGATGGGCTCTTTCTCTCTTCTTTCTTTCCTTTTCCAGGATGTGGCGGTTCTGCTGGACCATGGGGCAGACCTACGTATCACGGACAGGAACAACTGCTCCGCACTCCACAGGGCTGCCTCTGGCGGACATCTACCTGTTATACAGCTGCTGGTGGCCAAGGGCATAGAGGTGGATTCTCAGGACTCGCTGGGTCTCACGCCCCTGCACTACGCTGCCCGGAGAGGCCACGTAGAAGTTGTCAGCCATCTCCTGGACAGGGGTGCACAGGTCAATGCTGCCGGCTGGCTCCGCAAGACCCCTCTGCACCTTGCTGTGGAGTGTGACCACAGAACAACCATAGAGCTTTTGCTAAGCCGAGGAGCCAACTCTACCTTGAGGACACAGTGGGGTGAAATGGCCCAGACCCTATAGGGTGCCTGCCCCAGGCACTGCCTGATTTCCTTTACTAAACAAACTTCTTAAAAACTACAGAGAGATGAGAAATTAGAGCTGTACTTCTAACAAAATTAAGAGTTTAGGATTATGGAGGATATCTTTTGGTTGAGATTTGTTCACAACTGGGCCATGGTGGCGCACACCTTTAATCCCAGCACTTGGGAGACAGAGGCAGGTGGGTCTCTGTGAGTTCAAAACCATCCTGGCCTACAGATCAAGTTCTAGGACAACCAGGGCTGTTGCACAGAGAAACCCTGTCTAGAAAAACCAAAACCAAACCAAAATAACAAACAACAATAAAAACTGCTACCCATTAGGTTATATTCCCATATCAAAAGGATTGTAATTCTTCCAGGCAAGTAACATATCCTTGGTTAGCCGGGAGGTGGTGGTACACACCTTTAATCCCAGCACTTGGGAGGCAGAGGCAAGCAGAGCTCTGTGAGTTTGGGGTCAACCTTATCTACATGAGGCACCAAAACTACAGAGAAACCTGGTCTCGAAAAACAAAACAAAAAGATATCCCTTGTTAAGAACATAAAAAAGAACAGCATTGGTCAACATTTTTGCCATGTAAATCTCTTATTTGTTCAAATGGCCACACTTGCAGTTTCTGGTTCATGTAAAACATGCTCAAAGTGTACCTTCGTGCTGGAACCTAAGCAGGATTTATAGATCACAGTATATGTGAAATATTATAGATCAAAATCTACATAAGCTGCAAAGAATTTCTGCTCAAGGGTGGTGTCTCTGTGTGTGTTAGCCAGAAATCATCATTAAAGGGGTGGGTCTTATTTTCCTTATGATTCTCTGCATGTCTGGAGTAAATTCATGGTGGTTGTTGGTGGCACTAACCTGCTGCTTCACTAGGAGTCACAGAGTCACAGCCCCAGTGTCCCTGAGCTTCCTTGGGTGAGGCCGAGACTTTTTGGGCAAAACAGGACAAGAAAAATCCTGAATCCTCCTTCTCGGTAGAGGCCACCTGTCCTGGAACTTGCTCTTGTAGACCAGGTTGGCCTTGAACTCACAGACGTCTGCCTGCCTCTGCCTCCCGAGTGCTGGGATTAAAGGCACACGCCACCACTTCTTGGTTAAACATGAGAATTGTTGGACAAAGAAGACACTGGTCTCTGTCCTCAGGAGTATAACTACTCAGCTCCAGCCTCCTCCACATAAGGGTCGAGTTGGCAACAGATTTGATTAAAACCTCATGGTTTCTCTTTGGTCTGTGGGCCACAGGGCTCCCCTTACCTGCACTGTATGCGGGGGATGTTCTGTTTGTATTTGTCCTTCACACTAGTTTCTTTCCTCATCTCTGTAATAAGATGCTTGAAAGAAGAGATGTGCAGCTCGTAGTTTTGGAACACACAGTCCAGTTTATGGATGTATGCTCCATGGGGTTTATGAGAGAGCTTTGCCCATCTGCTGTAAACACCTTTCTGGTATTTTCACCAGTGATTTTTTAGAAAGTGTTTTGATTTGTGGCTTTCTTTGTTCTGTCATGAGAAAAGTTTCAATAAGCTGGGTGTGGTGAGGCACACTTTTTTTTTTTTTTTTGAGACAGGGTCTCTCTGGGTAGCCCTGGCTCTCCTGGGACCAGGCTGACCCTTAATTCAGAGATCAGGCTGCATCTGTCTCCCAAGTGCTGGGAATAAAGGCATTTAGTACAACACTTATGAAAGTTTTTTGTTTGTTGTTTTAGTTTTCACTGTTTTCAGACAGGGTTTTATTTGATGGTCCAGGCTGGCAGAAACCATTACAAACCTCTTGTCTTGGACTCCTGAGCACTAGAACCACAGGTGTAAACCAACTGAGTTCAGCTCAGAAAACTCTTCTTTAAGTAGAATGTCAACCAAATGTGGACGGAATGACGTGTTGCCTGGGGGACCAGCTTCCAGCAGGGCAGGGCTCAAAGGGAATCTAGAGTCAGCACATTAGACTTTTCTATCTGAGGGGTCAGGGAAAAAGACACTCACTCTGTATGGATGGTTTCCTTGTTGACTCTTCTGTGTTCTTCTGGTCTTCATATTCCTGGTGATTTCCTTCTCTCGTTCTTGATGTTTTCCTTCTAACTCATTTTAACTCTCTCTCTATTCTCTCTCCTACATTTTATAACCCCAGCAAAACCTTTCAGGCAGTATAAAAATTACAATGTGGTTACATTCTGTTTTCCAAGTGAATGACTACAATGAATACAAGGAGAAAAAAACAGAATGTTTTCTGTATCCCTTACATGATTAAACATTTTACATATTACAGGTAAAAAGCAAATTATCCCAAGGACCCATGTACATTCATACCCAAGCATTTTGTTATAGATTAACAGTGTGCAAGCAAACCAGATATTCTATTGCTAACAGACTGTGTTTTATGGTTACAAAGAAAGGGTCAATCACTTTCTTATTTATCTTGAAAGGTAATCTTATTAGGAATCTTAAAGGAATCACAAATCTAAACTTTTATATATGAAAAAGAATCACTCAGCCAGGTGGTGGTGGCGCACGCCTTTAATCCCAGCACTCGGGAGGCAGAGACAGGTGGATCTCTGTGAGTTCAAGGCCAGCCTGGTCTACAGAGCTAGTTCCAGGATAGGCTCCAAAGCCACAGAGAAACCCTGTCTCGAAAAAACCAAAAAAAAAAAAAAAAAAAAAAGAATCACTCAGTTCTACTTTAAATCTTTAGAGTGCATATCCACTCAACAATAGCTTCTTTCACCAGGAGATTGAGGGCAGGAATGGGTAAGTAATTAATCACTACCTTTGATCATTAACCAGCCCTAGCAAGAAAGGCCCGTCAGCTAATAATAATTGGGCTGCTTTGTTCTTGTTCCCTGACCTTAACAAGTTCCTCATTCAACTCTGGGTCTTTCTAAACTCTAGATTTTCTTCTTTTGCAAAAAAAAAAAAAAAAAATTCTTACCAAATTACTTTCCCTTTGTTTGTGTGTGCCTTTCTGCAACACTTGAGATTGTTTTCTCCCACTGACTTCCATAGGCCTCCCCCCAACAAAAATAAATACATACATTAATTTTTTTTGTTTACTTTTGTTGTTTGTTTTAGTTTTTTTGAGGGTTGGTTTTCCTGCTTCTGCATCTGGAGTGCTTGGGACGCCACCATATGCAGCTAGTCGTCAGTTTTTTGAGTCACACTGATCCTGTCTCACAACTGAAAAGAACGAGAAGCAAGGACTGTCGAAGGGCAGGCAAGCGACGTTTACAGAGAAGCTGGTCCCAGTAGCAGTGTGGGGGTGTCTCGAAAATGAGTTGCCTTAATTTGAATATGTATGTGGAATTTTGATTAGTTGATGGGATCAGGTGAAAGGGTGCTTGTTCAAGTAAGTCTCTGAAAAGTTCCAAGAGGTCAGAGAATCCAGAACTAAAAGGAACAAAAGATGGTAGCCAACTTCTTGTTAAGTCAGTCAGAGCTGCTTGGCCTTCATCTCCCTATAGCATGTTTTTTTTTTTTTTTCCCTACCACACCCGGCTCTGAGCGCCCTCCATTTCCTGGAACGTGGCTTTCTATACCCACAGAGGTTAGCTTTCATCCCGTAGGCACATCTCGAGAACAGTAGATACCTTTGCTCAGCTGGGCCTGCGACTCAGACAGCTGCCAAACCGGGGTGTGGTTGCGCAGGCCTTTAACCCCAGCACTCGGGAGGCCGAGGCAGTCGGAGCTCCAAGAGTTCGAGGTCAGCATGGTCTCCAAAGCGAACTCCAGGACAAACTGTTACACAAAGTAATCCTGCCTCGAAAAAAAACCAAAAAATAAAACAAATAAGCAAAACTAGATTAGCTGCTTTTAGAATGAGGCTGCCTTGATTTGATTTCTGTCACACATTTAGGGACAACTAACTGAAGCCCACACAAGAGCAGGCCACCGACGGTTCTTTCGTTTCTGCAAATCTGATTTCCGTCCGCAGCTGCCCTTCCCGTCCTCCTCAGCCCCGCCGCCTTGGTCCTTCCAGGCCATGACATCAGCTTCATGCATCCGGTCCGTTCTGCTGCTCCCCCTGCTTGCGGACCGCCACGCACAACGGAACTCGGGGAGCGAGTCTAGAGGCGTCCCGGAAGATTGTGCGCGCGCACACCCGGTCGGGCCGTCCTCTCTGCCCGTTGACCCGGAAATGCTTATGGCAGGCGCTCGGATCGCGGGAACCCAGAATGGTGTTCCTTACAACGCGGCTGTGGCTGCGGAACCGCCTCACAGACCGGTTCTGGCGGGTCCAGGAGGTGCTGAAGCATGCTCGGGTGAGTGCGCGTGCCGGGATCCCCTGGGGCGCGGGCAAGGCTGTGCGCTACCATCCGGACACCCTTCTTTCTTTTTCGTCGTCCAGCATTTTAGGGGAAGGAAGAACCGCTGCTACCGGCTGGCGGTCAGGGCGGTGACCAGAGCCTTCGTGAAGAGCACGCAGGCCCGCAGACTGAAAAAGCGGAACCTGAGAACCGTAAGCACCGTCCCTGGGGGTCCCACCCCGACCCCGGGGTCCCACCCCGACCCCCGAGCTTGTCCTTCATCTCCCCTAGAGCTAGGCCCTCCTCCACACCCGACTTCGGGAGCTTGGCCTTCAGTCCCTTGGCGTTTCCCTCACCTTGCACAGAAGCTGTGTGAAGGGCGAAAGGACCGGCATTGGCACAAGACAGCCCTAGACATTGGGACAAAAGGCATGGGAAAAGGGACAAAGACAGGAGCTAGAGGACTGGGAGAAGGGCGAGGACTGCTTATCCCGTAGGGACAAAGAGCTGCCTTGGATAGGGAAGAAACGGCAATTGACAGTTTATAAAGGTGAAAGAGGAAGCCTCCTGTTAGGATGGGGTGTTTAATTTTATTTGGACAGGTTAATCAGGGTAGCCACAGGGGGCTTTTGCAGGACTTCAATACTTGGATAGCTGGACCTTGGTAGTCAGCCTCAGGAGGAGGAAGTGGCCAAATAAAGGCTAGCTTTAGGAATGTAATCTAACGATTTTTATCAAGGAAGAGGAAATAGCAAGGCCTGCCAGAGCCATATTTGTTATGCTCGGACCTACTAGCATCCCTTCAAAGGGTGTTG